CTCTCTCTGCTCTCTCTCTCTATATAATATCATACCTATATAATAATATAATATAATATATATAATAGTAATATATATATTACTATATGATATATATATATACATCATATATTATATGTAAGTGGTTATTTCACCGTGTCTGTTGCAGCCTGTATATATTAAGCGAACGCGATTTCTCGAGGGCCATGATCTGTGCTCGCGGACCGCGTGCTAATTGCGCGATCGCGCGAAGAGTATGTCAAATGCATGGTTAGCGCGCACTTGGGCGATAAGTAGTGCATATCGTGTCATAGAGGCGCTCATGGCAATGGATTGCACTTACACGGGCGCCATGATTCAAGTGAGGAGGCGCGTAAGTCTGTGTATACCACGGCTTTAACATCGCGCCAACTGTCGCAGGCGCGATGACAGCCAGCCGGCGCTGCGAATCTCACATATGTTGATACCGACGTGCCTTCGAGCAAGTGTATATCGTTCATGAAAACTCGCGTCGAGTGATATCCTAGATGGTAGTTTGAGCGTTATGATTCACTCGTATAGTGTAATGACTTGGCGTCCCTACTACAGTACGTGGTGCCCTTGATATATATCATTCCTCCTACTTTCTACACCTAAGCGCATGGATTTCATGCACGAATTCTATCTTTTGCGTAATAACGTATTTAACAGGCGCGGGGAACGGTGAAAGGCGTTCATATAGTCGCCATCTTGTAATTTGCTTATGGTGCGCCGTTTTTAGCTTACGCACGTCCTAATTAAAACCGACAAGCCGTATATACTGCGAGAGGATCGAGATTTCTCACGGCTCACAAGCCAGCATAGAATCGCGTACCCCTTAGCTCTCGCAAAACAAAACACGCGCCACTTTCCGTACAACAATGCGTGCCCAGCATACCTTGCATCCGCGCAATGGCAATGTTCAATCATTATGAGGCGCATCTATGTAGGGTTTAAATCCGCTCACACCTGTGACGCGTACGCATCTCGGTGCGATCGGTGAAGTTGTGTCGTTAAATTCGTGACGAAAGTGTAATACATTTGCATTGGCGTATTTACACTCACACTCTCGTTGACAGTTAAGGCGACGTTTAGGAGACTTTTCCGTCGGATTGAGGCACACCACCAGGGGTGCGATCTAGGGTAGTACCTACTAGAGGCCGCGTCACGGCGATGAAACAACTGTCTGTCCCGTGTTTACCCAGGATGTAGTCTTCAGTTGACTAGAGGAGACCACTTGCCGGCATTGCATGCGTGCAGTACTCACGCGCTTAGAATTGACCTTAACAATCCAGCTCCTTGCAGGAGATAGCTTTTATTTGAATAGACTAACGTAATTTCAGTGGCTTATTATTTCATTAAACTAGGTTATATATCAAGAGTCAATATAAGAAGTCCAATATCAAGAGTCATTAATAATAGAAAAATCTCATCTTTATGGACTCTTGAATATATCTATATATTATACTAATCTATTAATATATATATATTATTAGTGTGCCGTTAGGTGGTGTGTGTGCATGCTGTGTGTGTGTGTTGTGTAGTGTGTAGTGTGTTGTGTGTGTGTGGTGTATGTGTGTGTGTGCGCGTGTGCGCTGCTGCGTGTTTTTTTTGGGGTGGGGGGGGGGGGGGGGGGGGACTGAGGGGGGGTGGGGGTGCGGGTGGGGGTGGTGGGGCGGGGGGTGCGGGGTGCGGGGGGGGGGGCGTTTATTTTTTTTTCTCTGGCGGTGTTGCGTGTGCGTGTGCTGTTGGTGGTGATGCTGTGTGCGTGTGCGTGTGGTGTGCGGCGTGTGTGTGTCGCCATGCTGTGTGTGTGTGTGTGTGTGTGTGTGTGTGTGTTGTGCTTGTTAGTGGGTGTGTGTGTGCGTTAGTGTCAGTGCGGGTGCATGCGCGGTCGGCCATGCAATCCGCCGTTATTATTCTAGTTGTTGCATACACATTTATACGCTGATATGCAGATATTCTAGTGATGGCGACAAGACATGCCGACCGTCTCATCCTTCGTTGATCCACTGAGCTTGAACTGTACTAAGGTGCGAGCGCAGTTCAGACATGTGATTAAATTGCGATTTCTTCATTCATCATCATATACTCCGAGCTATGCTTTATGTTTTTTTTAATCCAACCTTCCTCGTCTCATCGCTCGGGTCTTGTAAGTCGCGTTCTCTCTCTCGATCAGGCGTGCGCATCGTTCAACGCTACGTAGCGACCATGTCATATCACGCTGTTCTGCGACTGCGACGTGCTCTCGAAGGGAACGCGATTCGGGACGTTCCCATGGGCAAACACTGTGAACATGAGCGAGATAAAACGTACGACGACATCACGCACATGTGGGAGTGGATGCGCACTCGTTATAAACACTTTTTTTATGAACAACCGCCTCTGTCGGTTTTTCATTTCGGCCTTCTACACATTCTCCATCATCGCGGTTTTATGCATTCACAGCGTTATAAAAATAGCACGTATTGGTAACGTTTTAGAACTTACTTTTTTATATCTCTTACATCATAAGTCCTGTAATTATGACAATGTTCACGAACCGACACACTTACGCGGAGATCTCACGACGCGAAGCTACCACAGACAACACCACATCACGACCACCACGACACACACACCATCACACCAACACACACAACACACTAATCACCCACACTACACACACCGACGCGAGGAAATGTAACTAATCGGTTATTATAAGTTCTGCATATGTTATAATCAGTATCGTTATTCGTTTCCCTTGCAGTCTTCCTCGTCTCAAGTGAGTCACTTTGTACGCGGGAGGTCGTACGGCCACTGTGGATTACGTCAACACGCCCGTTTTGGCATAGAGCAAAACGCGTTAGTGTGTGCGTGTGCATGCGCGGTAGGCTCATGAATCCGCGTTATTATTCTAGTTGTTGCATACACAATTTATACGTGATATTACAGATAATTCTAGGATGGAGACCAAAAGACATTGCCGACCGTCTCTATCCGTCGTTGATCCACTGAAGATTGATGTACCTAAAGGTGCGAGCAGTTCAGACATGTGATAATATTCCGATGTTCTCATTCTCATCATATACTCCAGAGCTACTGCTTTTATCGTGTTTTTTTTTATCCAACCTTTCTCGATCTCATCGCTCGGTCTTGTAATGTCGGGGTTCTCTCTCTCGATCAGGCGTGGCCATCGTTCCAACGTACGTAGGCGACCATGTCCATCACGGCGTGTTCTGCGACGCGACGTGTCTGCCGAAGGGAACGCGATTCGGGCCGTTCATGGGCAAAACTGTGAACATGAGCGAGATAAAGACGTACGACGACAACACGCACATGTGGGAGGTGGGCCTGCGCACTCGTTATAAACACTTTTTATGAACACCGCCTCTGTCGTTTTTCATCTTCGCTTTCTACACATTCTCCATCATTGCGGTGTTTATGCATTCAACGTTATAAAAATTACACGTATTGTAACGTTTTTAAGAACTTTACTTTTTTTATATCTCTTACAGCTTAAAGTGTAATATGACAATGTCACGAAACCCGACACACACTATACGCGAGCTTACACGCGAGCTACACACACACACACACACACACACACACACACACACACACACACACACACACACACACACACACACACACACACACACACGAGGAAATGTAACTACGGTTATTAAGTACTGCATATGTTATAATACAGTATGTATATTCGTTTCCCTTGCAAGATCTTCCTCGGGGGTCAATTGAGTCACTTTGTCGACGGGAGAGGTCCGACGGCCAACTGGTTGAGTTACGTCAACAACGCCCGTTTTGCGCAAGAGCAAAACCTCATCGCTGTACAAGAGAACAGCGAGATATACTACGAAGCATGCAAGGAGATTTCCAAAGGTACACTCACGCACCCAACATACTCTCGCGTTCTAATGCAGCCATACGCATAGGCTACTCGACGCACCTAGTGTGGTTCACATCCATTTATCATGATGATAATGAGAATTCGTTGTTTAACGCATCTCAAGTTTACATAGCGGTGCGTCTATATTAGTAATATATTATTATAGTATTAGTAGTATTGGAATTATAGTAGTAGAATATTAGTAATGTTTTTTTTATTTGCGTTTGCTATTTCCGAGAAGCCCTAATCGACATGGCAGTACGGGATGTACTTTGAACAAACAGAGTCGAAACATTGAATATATCCCTATAGCTTCCGTATTTAATTTTATATTTATCAATCCCATTGATTCTGGACACATCAAGCGGAAATTCATATTTTATAATACTGCTTACCGTGTGAGTCTACATTAGTTTACAAATTCCCGTTTTCCGGTTTTTTATACGCACATGCGTTAGTATGCCAGCAGTAATCATAGAAAACTCGTGCGGTAGATGGCGCGCCAAGTCAGAGGCATATAATAGAGATCTATATAGGCCTATATAAAAGAGATTCAATAGTTATAAATATAATAAACACATTTACACTATATATATATATATATATATACGCGCTCGTCATATTATATTAGAAGTTACGGCCAAGCATAATATATTTCGTTTTTGACGAACAATATGATAATAATCTTTTAAACAGGCAAAGAGTTGTTAGTGTGGTATGGCGACTCGTACATGCAGTTCCTTGGAATTCCAGTCGCACTGAAAGACGCAGGCGGGGCATCAGTGGGCAATGTCGACAGCGGCGAACGTAAGTTATTATTGGTGATTGTTGATGACAAACCCTTCATTATATACGACGCCTACACGGACGCAATAATAGAGTATGATTGTGATTTCGCGTGCCGCAGAGCACCCGCGTATATGCGCAGTGTCATTTACATTCATCCTCATTATCTCGATGCTCTTCTCCGTATTAATTTTCTTCTTCGTCCTCTTCTTCTTCTTCGTCTTCCTCTTCTTCTTCTTCTTCTTCTTCTTCTTCTTTTTCTTCTTCTTCGTCTTCTTCGTTTTCCTCCTCCCCGTCCTCTACATTTTCCACGTTATATTATTCTTATTCGTCTACTTTCCCTTTTCTATGAGGAGTATCTGACTCTATGTGGAGACACTGTCGTTCCTGCAATCCATCACTATATTATATTGCCCAAAGCTGACCAAGCTCAGTATTAATTTGCTTTTTGATCCGATATATGTAATAACACCTCTGTATTTGAATACCCTCATCATAGATCATAAAGGCTACCCGTGTGAGCGATGTGGGAAGGTGTTCGCTTATGACTACTACAGAGATAAACACTTAAAGTATACTCGATGTGTAGACCAGGGCGATAGAAAGTTCCCCTGCCACCTATGCAGCCGGTGAGTAAGCTATTAAGGCTGTATACACACCGCGTAGATCCGCACAAAGGTGGTCTCCATGCTATGAACACTATTGGCTGCAGCACAGGCACTTGGAGCGTTTCAATAAAATATAATGTTAAATAAATACGAAATCTATTTACTACCAACGTCTTAATGTTTCTCTACTCTCTTTCACCTATTATTGCCGACAATTTCCGATTTGCCGAGTGTAATAATAGTTACACTATATATTTATGTGTCAGTGTGCAGCAGCTAGCGTGCGGTGTACTTGTGTGTCGCAGATGAGCATTTGGACGGCATTTACAGGTGATTATGGGCGAAATAGAGTAGAGAAACATTAAGACTTTGGTAGTAAATACATTTCGTGTTTATTTACCTTTTTTTATTGAGACGTTCCAAGTGCCTGTGGGCTGCAAATAGAATTTCAATCGAATTCAGAACACCTGACCGAAGCGTGGTTTGGTTCGCACGTGCGGCTTCTCAGGTCGATTTCGTATGTTTAGTATATTATATATATATATATATTATATCATATGTTTATGTACGATTATATTATTATTTTTAATATTCCGTATTTAGGTTAATTGTCCGTGTCTTCCCACGTCTGCTCAGCTCTTTTCAACTTTTCAGCTCGGGAACTTTGACGTGATATGCGCATGATTAAATACATATTGCACACACGTGAACTCATTAGGGACACGTATATAGGGTCGAGTATTATATAGTCAAGCGCCATGGTACGGAGATCGCAGCGCTGAATTAGATGTTCCGAAACAATGGGCCTATGAAGGTTCTCTGGAACTTAGTAGACGTCCGGTGTAATCCTCTGTCAGGTTGAGATGCTGAGATATAAGTCAGCAGCTAACATCTATAAGACTAATTGTCAGCGTGAACAGATGGCGAGCTGTTCGCATGTGTTGTGGCCGCAGTTCGGCTCTATCGATCTCAGTGCGCCTACCATATGTTACTTCAGCTCTGCACATCTCACTCGATTCTAACTATAACCTATCGGTATCAAAACGATTATTAACACAGGACCAGTGATCCCGCCTATTCAAAAGGTTACCAGAGCGAGCATGAATTATTGCTATTTGGGCGGCGGTTTACATCTATTTTTTACCGACCCGAATATGATATAATGTATCTGGGCAAATTAAGGGACGTTACTTTCACTTTCTAAATACGTAGCCGTGTGTCCTCAGGTCGTTCGAGAAGAGAGACCGTCTCCGAATCCATGTTTTACACGTGCACGAGAAGCATCGGCCGCACAAGTGCACCGCATGCGACAAGAGCTTCTCGCAGTCATCGAGTCTGAACAAACACATGCGCGTGCACAGCGGAGAGCGTCCCTATAAGTGCGTCTACTGCAGTAAGGCGTTCACAGCATCCAGTATTCTGCGCACGCACATTCGCCAGCACAGTGGCGAAAAGCCGTTTAAGGTGACTTGGGTAGAAAAGTTTATTTGCTAGGTGCTATGCACCAAAGCAACATTCCTCTATATTAGATCATTAATCTTAAACGCCGAGTGTTGCGCGACCTGTAAAGACGTGATTAAATTCCGCGTATGAAACACGCCAGTGCCGTTGTCCGGGAATTTGAATTTTGGAATCGACTTTGATTATTTGAATGCGCGCATCCTAATACTAATACATCATCATATGACATAATAGGCAGCGCTGGTTAAAAAGTAAAATGTGCTATGTTGAAAAATTAAAAAAATAATTAAAATCTACAAGAAAGTGATTCAAACGTGCTTTAACCTATACTGTTTTATACGTGCAATGAAATAATTAATGTAAACACATTTATGTATTGTATTGCGCAGTTGATCGAGAGACGCAATTCCATCGCAGGGTGAGGAATCACTGCATTCCTACCTAGTATAATTTACCTATACATCGTTTTCACACACAGTGCAAGTACTGTGGCAAGTCTTTCGCCTCTCACGCCGCGCATGACAGTCACGTGAGAAGAACTCACGGAAAGGAGAAGTCGAGCGCGTGTCACGTGTGCGGACAGGTGTTTGCGCAGGCGTACGAACTCAAGTTCCACATGAAGGTGCATGCGATGAGCGACATGGAGATAGACAGAGTCTAGCAGTGGAAGCGATGTCTATACACGATGTCTATACACGATGCCCGTACGCTCCGCCTCGCGTCAGGCTATTTATTGTTGGCGAATAAAAGAGGTGGTAGCGATAGTAACATGCTGCGACGTTCAGAAATGTGCACATGTTATCGCGCATAAAGCTGTTTGATAACTATAGGAAAAGCTTATATATATATATATTATATATATATATATATATATATATATATATATATATATATATATATATATATATAATATGCAAGACCGCGCCATGTAAATGAAATTTTACCGAGATCAACCGACGGCTTCTCCCCTCTCAGCTTATTCTGCGATTGATTCTCTCGGAGATTTTACGAATAGAATAGAATTGATAAACGAATAGAAATTGAAACTAGTCAGGCAACGTCGCCTTTAGTAAAATAACAATAATTATTTTGACCTCTTCGTAACATTCATGCGTAAATCTAAGAAAGAAAAATATTAAACTACGCCTAGATGACATATGTAAGGAAATCCTTCTGGGAGGAACCTGCAGCTGTATGTTGAAATTCGCAGAGGCAAATCTAAGATTAAAATAAAATTGTTTGAAAAAGTCGCGGTGGCAAATATGAAAAAAACCAATATATCAGCTGCTATTTAGGTTTTGCGATAATAGTCAATTTTAAAACCGGGAGGGTTCATTTATTGTCAAGAGCAATTCACGAGACAAACAGTCACTATGACGCGTAGGTATACATGTGTGTATTTTACATGTAATGACTTTGCATGTTCAGATAATGGACTAGACTGACATCAACCATCGCTGTGGGTGTCGCCACACGTGGGTGACAGGGATTTGAGATAAATAACGACTTTAAGGGTCAGTCTAGGAATATAGGAACAAACATCGAAAATGTTTCTAGAGGATAGTAACTCTAGATGTAAACTAAAGGATATCCTTTCTAGTCTGGTGCGGTAGCCTGGCGCTAAAAACGCATCTTGTAATATAACATGTTAATTTGAGATACATTATGTTTAGTGATATAAATTAGTCTAACCAATTTCAACGCCTGACTAGACGCAACAGTCAGTATATTTCATGTTCTTGTTACGTATGTGACAGATACTAATATGGAGGCAATTAGATTTCCGGATTGCTTTACGTCGTATGGCAATTATTTATTCTTTGTAGATATGATTACAATTTTCTATGGGGGAGCAGTTTATTACTGTGTTATGTAGGGTATTTAGACTGTACTGTTTTTCATGAAGACCAAACAATGATGACATATATATGATCATGATATATATATTTATATATATATATATATATATACGCGCTCGTCATATTATATTAGAAGTTACGGCCAAGCATGCTATGTGACAAAACGGCGTAGTGTACAAGACATGTATGGAATAAACATGCAGCACAATTCAGTTGAAATCTTACCTCTTTATATGTGTAGTGGACACGCGGTCACTCTCTCTCTCTCTCTCTCTTTCTCTCCGCCGTCGTTTGTCTTTCACTCTCTCTCTCCTGTCTCGTCTCTCGGCCTCTCTCTCTCTCTCTCTCTCTGTGTGTGTCTGTCTGTTTCTCTCTGTCTCTCTCTCGAGCGAGCGCGCGCTCTTTTTTTCTCTCTTTCTGTCCTTACTCTGCCTTTGCTCTTCTTTTATCTATCTTCACTCTCTCTCGCTCTCTCTCTCTTTCTCTCGCTCTCTCTCTCTCTCTCTCTCTCTCTCTCTTTCTCTCTTTCTTTCTCTCTCTCTCGCGCTCTGTCTCTCTCTCACTCTGTCTCTCTCGATCTCGCGCGCTCATTCTCCCTCTTAAACCCTTATTTCTCTATCCACATTCTTCGCCCTTTCACTCACTTTTCTGTATAATAAGAATAGTACCTGCTAGAAAGTACCTGACGTTGTATTGCTTGATTTGCGCTAGTCTATCCAGTTGATCGCTATTAGAAACTATATCACACCAGTGCCATAAATTGGCTAGGATTATTGGCAACCATGGCGTTAGTTTTGCCCTTAAAGTATCATCGCCATACTTTATTGTATCACATACTAGAAAATTACCTTAAGTGAAAGACATAATCAACGACATATAGCACTCGCGTATAGTAATTCACATGTCAACCCTGTTACCTATTTCACCAATAAATCGCCTTTCAGAGATATCGTTCATAATCCGGTATATACTATCTGCCAAAAATTATGAAGCTGGCAAAAAATTAGCATTCGCTTGTACAACCGTCTATTCTTAATGTCAACAAATTGTTTTCGAATTTATTACTGACTGCTGCTATATATCTTAGCGATCGTGAGAGAGCGAAGGACACGCGTGGGGGTGTGTTTGTGCGTCACGATGACGTCACGTGTGTATACGCTCGGAAACTTTTCCAATCAACGCGGCGCGAATACATCACGTTTCGCGTTATATGACGTTTACCGTACACACGACCGCCAACGCGCTACTTACACGCAGAGAGGCGAACCACAATCACATGGAAGTCAACGATACGGTAGTAACACATAACTTTGTCGTAGGGTCTATATACCACCAAATAAAGCGGGTGAGGAAAGTACCTTCGCACACGGAAACCAAACCATGAATGCGGCGTGTGCCTATAAATCTATCGGCATTGTGGCAGTTAATTAGCAGAAAGAACAGCCTCACGAAATTAATAAAACACTTCTCAATTATGTCCCTGCACGTATATCGCTAGGTGACCGATATATACATAGAATTTGCATAATCCTAATATAATAATTGCAAAAATATAAATACACAAACAATGAAAACAACGGCAGCAACAACGATATCAAATAAAACTCACAATGTTTTAGGATATATTATGGCCACGCGAACCCCTTCAGCAATTACCGATTTCAACATAATATACTTGATTCCAGAATAAAGGTAGCTGATTGCATTTAGATGTCAGAGATTTCGTACAGGTGTCGTGGTTATGAAAACTGCTATATTTAAAACGAAAGCTTTCTTGTTCTCAAGTAACCAGCTTATAAGATTTCTCGGCTGCTGAATTCGAGTGAAGGTTAACTGAGTTTCGATTGAAAAATATCAAGCTCAGAGTGAGGAAGTTCTCCACGTCTGCCTCTCGACAGTGTTTCCAATTGGAATATATTATGTAAACAGGGAATTCCTGAAAATGTGCGTGCTTAGGCTGGGGTCAACATGTGCGGTACGTGCGTATATAAGGATGCTAAGGGTAGGCTCTGTGAAGCAGGTACCGATTAGCATAGAGAGAGAGAGATAGGTAGAGAGAAAGAGAAGGAGAGAAAGAGAGAAAGATATAGATAGATAGATAGATAGATAGAGAGAAAGAGAGAGAGAGAGAGAGAGAGAGAGAGAGAGAGAGAGAGAGAGAGTCAGTGTCCAGCTACCGGGCAGTGAACCTTCATAAACTAGGAGACATATAAAGGCAATACCTGGAGATCAAAGCCGCCAGCCAGCACGTCAGAAACTGAGAACGACAGTGCTTGTGATGCAGCATGGCATTCGTTACCTATTGTACATCGCCATCGGTACGTATATGAAATAATTCTCCTAACTCTATTTCACTTCCTCCTGCAGACATACGTACGCACTCACATAAACACAGTTATAACACATAACATATACCATATAACACTATATAACATATATAACATATAACATTATAACATATAACACACACATAAACGCACCTGCACACGCACACAAACATGCACATGTGCATACAAGCGCGCACGGACGCCATCACGCATAAAAGCACGCACGCACGCACGCACGCACGCACGCACGCACGCACGCACGATTATATAAAAAATATATTAATGAATATTTCTTTTATCTGTAGGTGTTCGTTATAACGATTTTAGCATTCATAACGGCAAGCGAGTCTAGGAACATAATCAAGCAGCCTTTCCAACAGGACATGAGCAATAGCACAGTGATGAGTAAACTCGTGGCGGCTTCTCGTAGTAGAGGGAATACCACGGAAGTGCTTCGCAGAGCGTTGACACCGACAGCTAAACCTATGAAGCCCAGCGGGAACAATTCACGAGCTCGCCTCCGTAGGAGTGTACTAGATGGGAGCGAGAGGGATACCTGTTTATCTGAATCAGAGCTGTTCCAGAGACTAGGTGCATACTTCGCCACAGAGCCTGCTGGTGTATGTGACTTCCTTCAACCCCGCGGGGAAATTCCTGCCAGCGGCGCGAGCACCTACTGGGCCGAAAGAACTGATCTCTCTGCTCCGATTGATTCTCCGCGCGTCAACGAAAACACCAACTGCCCATGGTATTACCGAAGAAACTACAGGGCCAACAGAATACCAGAGTCCCTGATATTCGCCCGCATGTCCGAGACCTGTACAACCGAGGTTTGTCAGCTATGCTCGCCAGTTTACTACAGCTTCAGGGTGCTACAGCGAGGCGAGCCATGTAGTAGCGGTTACTGGTACACGGAGATGTGGGAGAGATTGCCAATAGCGTTCGTTATTAAAGCGAGTAAATAGTGAAGTAGGCACTTGTGCCATTAACGGACGAAATACACTCGCCGTTTTTATTCATTAAACAACTAACTTCCGGTATTGTTTTTCTTGAACGCCGCGTCACTGTTGACGTCTCTTATTGATCCGATATGATGCTAGTAGGCAAGTATAGCACGATCTCGGCATTGAAAGACAACTTCACTGTTTCTTGTTTTAATCGGAATTTATATCCTTACATTTGCAATTGTTATACCGTAATATGCTGAGTTTTGAGGTTTCGGAGCTGATCTCTTCTACTGAATAAACTTAAAACTGTGTATGACGTAATTCTTACTGTGCATTTGCTGTTTTATGAGGACGCTATTCTTCTCTCCTCTTCTATCTCTTTATTTTCTCTCCCGTCTCCCACTCTCTCTTTTCTCTTCATTTACTTTTCCCGTTCCCTCCCCGTCTCGTTGCCCCCTCGATCCACTCTCCCATCTATTTCCATAATCGCCAACCATTACTCTATGCCTCCTCCCGATATTTCTACCACCTCTTTCCTTCTCGACCAACTCAAATGCACAATGTACTCTGATCACATATATTCATAATAACGCAGTAAAATATGACCATGCTTAAAATGGTGATCTGACTAATAATTTAATATTCATGATTACCAGACTGTGCAGTGCCTCTTCCTTATAGGTAACTACCCCGCGTCATTTTTTATGTA